TTGTACAATCTGGCTCTGGTGCACATGTAACAAACGAGAGCGACGGTTTAATTAATGAGCTGAAAGCTGCTTTACTGTTGGACAGAACCAGACACGGTGCTTGGCCGTTGTCTGCCTTTTTCTAATCTAAGCTGTTCTCTCCTTGCAGTAGCTTCATATTTACCGTATCCACCGTCTCATCCAGCTCTCCTTCAGGTATATTGCAGACTGTCACACTCTCATTGCTCAGTATTCTAAACATCTTCAGACAAATGTCTGAGGAGAAAAACACAGCTTCTCTTTGAGCTGCTAAAGTCTGTGATGGGAAAGTCCCAGGAAGACAATGACTGAATGTAAGGGGCCCAGCGATGAGCAAGAGGACGCAACAGCTCAACACATCAACGGGACGGACCTCAGACAAACGGGGAGGTTGAACTGAACTTCCATAACCCAGCAGCACAGGACACTGGAGGGTAGACGACAGGACAGTGAATCATCTGGTTATGAAATGCAAATGGAGCACAGGTGTGCACACGGTTCCCATCATAAATATGCATTCAGTGTTCAGCGCTCTAAGTGGCTTAATAACGGCTGTCCTCCTGTTTCACACTGAGCAGAGCCCTGCTGTGAGTGTTGGCTGCTTTTTCATCTGCTAATATGAGAAATATCTCCCCAGATAACACGCTCATTAATTAGCAAAGTAATGAAACCACCAGCATTAATATTCAGATACTATAACAATTCAAATTAATTTTCTCCACAACTAACACACAAGTCTGATTACGTTATTAAACTGTGCAACAACTCCTGCAGAAAGGCAAAGCAACGAAGAAATCTCAACATACCCAAAATGTTTCTCAACTTCCTGTAACAGATCTGTAGATGAAGCAAACTCAGGTTTCCAGAGAGCAACGATCTATCTCGATATATGAGGAGAGACAAACATGCTGTTTTCCACAGCTGCAGCATCATTATGGACTCACCACACCGGGAAAGATTTTGGTCAGTCGGTCCACAGCTGCCATGGCTTTGGACTTCCCTCCTCCAAGGCAGTCCTCAAACTCGTACAGCGGCTGGCGAACTGGGTTGGAGTACGAGATCTTGGCATTATCTACAAATGTGATGTGTCTCACTCCCCATCCCTGGAGAACAAAGAAGAGACACCACACCGATATTTACCGACATGAACCGAGTAGCTCTGTGGGAACTTCAGTGACGATGGGTTGGTGTGTCCCGTGTGCATTTTCAAATCAATACGCAGAGCCATTCCAGTTTAACTCTCCCATAACGGAAGCATCAGTGAGCAGGTAACACAACCTCATCCCAGTTCAAATCTATATTCTGCACTGGCAGCACTTTCTGGTAACAAAAGGTCTCACTCTGACGGACAGACTGTCTGAGAAAGTCCCCTATGGACAATAACTGGCAGACAAAAAGATGGAGATGAGTCCATCTGAGCATTGTGCCTTCAGGCAGCAGTTTCTGCTCCAATGTAGTGCTTCAGCTGTAGATGTTGTTTCACACTGAGGGTCAGAGGACGGCGAGTCTGGGTCGGAGGATGACTTGTCAGGGTCGGAGGATAACAACATGTCCGGGTCGGAGGACGACAACGTGTCCGGGTTGTAGGACGGCGATGTGTCCGGGTCGGAGGACAGCGAGTCTGGGTCGGAGGATAACAACATGTCCGGGTCGGAGGACGACAACGTGTCCGGGTTGTAGGACGACAATGTGTCCGGGTCGGAGGACAGCGAGTCTGGGTTGGAGGACGACTTGTCAGGGTCGGAGAACGTCGCTTCCGGCTCAGAGGATGACACGTCTTGGTCGGAGGACGACATGTCTGTCATAAGTTACGGGTACCATCATTTGTGTCCAGGCCCGTTTCATGAGTTTATTTTTGAAAATAATTCTGTTGAACCACAGTTCAAAAGCAACGTCTGATTTTCATTGGTTAATTTTCATTGAATTTTAATTTATTGTTACTTTTGTCAGATTCAAGTTGTTTCTGTGACCACTGTGGGTCTTTCTTTCATTAACCGAGGGGTTCCAACTATTTTGTCCACGTGTGTGTGTTATAATTGTTTCACTACTTCTAAACAGAGGAGTCAGTCATAGTGACGGCATCAACTGGACTCTTAAATCCAAACACCAAAACATCCAGTTAACGGTCTATTCTGTTGCACTTGGTAGGAGATATCCGAAGAGCTCTGTACCAAAGAAAATATTCTTGTCTTCTGTGCTAATATCCTTTTTTTTCAACGATGCCAATAGTCTGTGGCAAGATCTGACAATCTGAGCATGAATAAACCCTCATGAATATGGAGTCACAGCACTGTGCAAGAAACGCTGCCGACAGCAGCCAAACACGCTTCTGTCTGGTCACAGGGATGTTCTGAGCTACAACGTGGACAGTCGAGTGGTGAAAGAACTCAAAACAACACCTGTAAACACAACATTAGGATGCACGACATGCTAAATATCACTTTTCATTCTCAAGACAGCTCCATCTGTAGGGTTACTTCCCCTCACCATGAGAGTCCGGGCCACATTGCATCCCAGCGTCCCAGCGCCCAGAAGAAGACACTTTGTGCTGACCACCTTGTCCAGGTCCAAGGACGGAACCAGCCTCCATCTCATCAGCTTCAGGTTCAGGTCCACTGATGACGCAGCCAGCCTGCAGACAGTCAGGTGAGAGGCCTGAACAGTTACACACCAGCGAGGTCCAGTCACAGCCCTGCTGCTCACCACATCTGTATTTTACCTTTTGGGGTCCATGCATTCGCTGAGGTTGACCATCCGGGGACCCATAGCGCCCTTCTTATTCTTCTCCCAGCCCACGCTCTTAGGACACACTACAGAAGAAAATAATCATTGCAAAATAAGATGTAAGACAAGAATAAGATTCCTCTGCTGCAAAGTAAGTGACAGTCACTGTTTCCAGGACAAAAGTCTTCTACGTATATCTCTGCTCGTGCTGCCTGCCTCCAGCACAACAAAGAAGAAGAAAGAACTTTAGTTTGTGAAGCTCACAGACTCGACAGATTCTGGTTAAAACTGAATCATCAAAAAAAGATTTTTCCTTAAGAAACAGTGCTATGAACACTACTGACAGCACATCAACCACGTAGTCTACCTGGAGGATGTGAAAATATACGACAAGCTTCCCCTGACAAACAAACAAACAAACAAACAAACAAACAAACAAAAACAGGGTTAGAGACACATGCCTTGACCACTGTCTCATTCACAGACTTTGACTCTGACTAATTAAATGTGTTCACTAATCAGGCACCACATCAGAACCACTGGCAGATGAAGAACATTATTTCATGATGGTCCACTGCTCTGCAGCCAGTCCTGCTGCCGACCGACAGGCCCAGCAGGACTGTGCTCTCACAGAACTTCAAAAACTGCTCGGTCAGCACGACAGAGACCCCGCAGGAAAACAGCAGTTCTATACGATTGGTTTTCTATCTTCTCCTGTGATTTGCGAATGCTAATTCATGCACTCATACATTTCCCCTCTCCCCAACATTCAGATGGCAGCTGAGCTGAGCTCCGTGTCTCTGGAAAGTTCGGCCGTTAAAAACAAAGAGAACAACAAATAATTTGTCCACGCAAACCAAACAGAACAGCTCGTTAGCTTTGGTTGCATGAGTACATCCTCTGCTAGCTCATTAAACGCTACGATGTGACCACGAGACTGAAGTAAACAAAGACACCTCATCTGAACTCCCCCATCAAAGACCAGCTTCTTCCCATCGTGCAATTTCCATTTAAATTACTTCCATCACTTCTTCAGCAGATAAAGGAATAATGGAGACGCTCTGCAAGATCAGTGAGGCTTGAAGATGAAGCAGAAAGTCTCAGCGGAGAACCAACCGAGACCACGGCTCATATCAGCTACAGTTCACACAGAAACACACCCACGCATTCAGATGAATAAGACACACACACACACACACACACACACCTACATGTCACACACCTACACGTCACATGAACACACACACACACACACAGGTCACACACACAGGTCACACACACACACACACACCTACATGTCACACACACACNTCACACACACACACACACACCTACATGTCACACACACACATACACAGGTCACACACACCTACCCGTCACATGAACACACCTACACACATGGTCAGGGTTGGAGCCAGGTTACCTGAGCTGTTGGGGAGTTCAGGTAGCTTGACCTGGAAGATGATGCTGTGCTGGATGGAGCGACTTCCCTGCAGAGTCCTGTCCCTGAAGCACAGGACCTCCACCGTGTCCACCCTGGAGCCCCTGAGACAGGCACACAGAGCGGATGGAAAGGCTCAACGACAGCAACACACCATCATCATGACAACATGTACACTGGAAACAGGAGCGTGGGACGTCATTAATGTGTCAAACAGAGTTACAGGGACTTAGAATGCAACATTTACTGATGCGTCTCCTGCTCTAACTGAAAAACAACTCACCCTGTTACCAACACAGTTCCCTAATATGGTGCTCAATGGCAAAGTTACACAATCAAACTGTGGTGAAACGGCTGAACAAGCGAGACATCGCGGCTGCGCTGTAATTCTGTCTTCAACCATTTCAGCCAGGATCAACAGTTTATGTTTCACACCGAGGGAAAGCAGTCAAACTCAAGATTGATCAGGTTTATATTAGATAAAAGCTGCCTCCAACTGTAACGCATGAAGCGCTCTACTTGCTACTGATAAGCCCCTGGTATCACAGGACACCACTGCTAAACCAGTCTCCATGGAACTCCTTCTTTATTTCATAAAAATCCTTCTTCAGATTCCAGACCAAGTGCCAGGAACAGCTCAGAAGGAAAACGTGACAAAAAATTCAAGAATGACTTTGGATCTGAACTCTGAGGACAACAAGCTCCTCCCAACTCGCTGCTCCCCCAGAACCGACCAGGACACAGCAGTGGAGCGTGCAGGGCCATGCCCCTGGCCCTCCACGTTACCATGAGCTAGTTATAGGAGTCGCCAACACGTCTGCAGTTTCAGACGTCATCAGGATTGATTGGGAGATGCTAGCTGTGGCTTGTTAACAGATTTCATGTCCAGTGTCGCCTCTCTGTTCAAATCAACACCAGTTCTGATCAGAGAACTATTGTAGACTCTGTAGACGAGCACGTACTGAACAACGGCTGACTACATCCCTTCATTTATACATCTGAAGTTGTTCCCATGTGGTATCTCAGAACACCAACAGTCTTGTCAGCATTCTGCCTTCATAATTCACTTATGGAGAATTTAAACAGTAGTTTCTATCCCTCGTTCGCTCTGCTACAGGACCAGTGCATGTGGTCTGAAACACCAGCTGGCATGAAGTCAGACTGTCTGAGTGAGGGTGAGGCAACAGCTCGACTGGTCGAGCTGGCGACCATGTTCAGGGAACTGGTCGAGCTGGTGACCATGTTCAGGGAACTGGTCGAGCTGGCGACCATGTTCAGGGAACTGGTCGAGCTGGCGACCATGTTCAGGGCTACAGTCCCAGATGTGGAGGTCGGGGGTTCGAGTCCCGCTCACGGCCCTTCCTGTCTCTCTCTCATAAAGGCCAACAGACGTCTAAATGACACCTGTAGCATCCACCATGAGCTTTTCATCTTGACATAAATATTGGAATATGTTTATAGTGGACCGGATCTTGGATCAAATGATGACTAATAAATCTGACAATCCTCCCCACTGGTGTGCTGAAATACTCCTTCTGTAAATATTTATCATGTAAAAACATGGAAGCTTCCAGACACCACTACTACTTGTGGAACAGCCTGAGTCAGTTCGCTGAGCAGTTTATCAGCTGCAGCATCCTAATGTAGTGAAATCTGTTCGTCCAGTTCAGTGATCTATTCTTATGTCACACCCTGAAGTCTGGACCGAAAACATTTTAAACTGGGAGTGATGTATTATTTTTTCCTGTTATCCTGCTTTCCAGATATCATAACAGCTGGTTCAGACCACAGAATGGCTACGACACACCTTTTACATCATTAGAAACTCGAGACTCGTGTGTGTGTGTTTATACGATGCAGCCTGAGTTGTTCACAGACAACAGCCACCACACAGGTGGTCAGGTATGTGCTCACTAACCAGGTATTGGCCTTCAGCCAGACTGAGCAGGTCGGTTTCACAGAATATAGCATGTAACGGTGTGGATGAATGGGACGATGCCCTGATGATCCGCATGTGAGAGATAAGTGCTGCGATGTGTCCATGAGGAATGTTAGGATAAGACTGGAAATGTTTAAGTAGACAAAGTCAGGCAGCAACGGCGTCACTGCTGCACATCCTCTGCAAACAAGGACGACTACATTGAAACACACTGGGTGGAAAGTGTGGCTTCACTCTACCGTCATGTTGTGAGCAATGTCTGAAATACCAAACACCTTATTTAGTCAACCTCACCGCTTCATAGACAAGTAGCATAACGTCAGCAGCAGTATTCATGCTTCTGTGAGCAAGGGCTGCCGTCTAGGAACCAGCATAATTAATCTGGGTTATCTCCTCCTCGCTAAACTCTTAGGACACCACCGTCAGAAAGCAGCAGTCCAGTAGTTGTTCTTCAGTCTGACGTGAAAGCTTTGAGTTTCACAATGATTCCTCATATTAACACACAACTATTCGAGCGATGTCAGTACCCGTGACAACACAAAGCTCTGGGCGCTGACACTTCAGGTTCAGGACATCAGCGAAGCAGAGATCTCCTGTCTTTCACCGCGTCCCTAAACACTCCGCTTGAGCTGAAAAATCAAACATTCTTGGTGAAATTCAGCACACAGCATGTGTGTCACAGTGAGGACCTCCAGAGAAGTTCCTCGTCAGACACAGACTCACACAGTCTTACCATTGGTTGGCTAAGAGGACCAGGACATTTCTCAGAGGCCAGCCCGGATGCTGAGACAGAGTACACGGATCATAGACGCCCACAGTCACCTGGAAAAACCAAACAAGGCGTGTTTACATTTGCAAACCGTCCGTGTGCGTGGGTACGAAATGAGCCTTTAAATCTACAACAACCATCAGATTTGAAGCCAAGAGAGCAGATTTTCTACATCACAGAAAACAGGTCTGAACAACATGTTAGTTTAAACATTTCAAATTAACACAGAATCAGAAATAGTTCAGAATCTTTCAGCACATATTTTCTAAATAATGCTGCATTACTGAAACACTAACAAACAAAACCGTATCACTACCTTCTTAGTATCAGTGACAAACGCCTCCCAGTCCCCCAGTGGAGCCAGCTGAGCGGTGTCGTCGGTGTACTTCATCAGGAAGTAGGGGACTGCACTGGTCCCTTCCTTCATGCACAGGCCGTCGTAGGCCTCCTGCAGGGCCGCCATCTGAGACGCAGCAGCCGGTTAGCAACACTCACAGAGCAGCCTGAAGTCAGTCAGACATCAGCAACAAAACACACACTGTGTGTGTCCAGTTCTGATTATAACGTCTCATTCAGGGTCCTGTACGGACACGGACTGGGTCGGCTGCTGGGGAGATGCTTCATCAACAACTGCGTTTAGATTTTCTTTGAAAGGCCAGATTTCCTAAAAGCACGGCGAGACACCTCCACGTAAAGACTTTATTCTTTATTCTCATCTTACAACAGACGCATTTAGAGAAAATGCTTTTGGTTCTTGGAAAACAAGAACATTCAATAGAAATCTGAATAATTTCCATTCTTACTTATAATTATGTATAATTTTCAGACAAATAAACAGTATGTCACAAAAACTGTGAAAATTATTTAACAAGTCCAACTGTGACCTTCCTGTCTAGAATTTAACTCCAGAGAATTCACCGACATTCAGTTCAATACAACCTAAAACCTCCTTGTTCACAAGAGGAGCAGGTAGCATCACACAGGAGAACTTCAAAGCTGCCCAAAGTCTTGGTTCTGTTTGTGTATTGCTGTAGTGAGCTTTAAAAAGCCCGTCAGGACTGGACAGAACCAGGAAGAGACATGATTCTGTAAAGGTATAGCACGGAGTATACGATGGACTTTATTCTGTTAGTGGGTCTGCTTCTTCTTAAACTGCTATGCATCCTTGTTTCTGTTTTTGCTTCCACCATCTTATGTTCTCCTCTGTTATGGACATCATGGAGGACGGCGGGAAGAATCGATGTTGGTATTGATCACACTGTGCCTGTTTTGTGTTGGGGTTTTTGGGTTATATTTGCTTTTATTGTTGTTTTGTGGTGTGAAATGAAAAGTCAAATCAATAAATGAAAGAAAAAAAAGCCAACCTGTTTGGCTGAGAAAGCGTGCTGCAGGAGAGATGGCGGCTGGACGAGCTTTATTCCGTCTGGGAAACAGAGCGCAGGGAAGCAGAACCAGTAGTAGAAATGGTACTTCTTCAAATCCTGCAAAAACATTAAAGAGACTTTAAACATGGCAACAAAGAAAGAAAAGAAAGATAATCCCACACAAGCTCACTGATATCTAAAAACGGTGCTATTTATACGCACTGCGAAGGTCAGGAGGATGAACCTGCAGAGGCTGGACGGGTCCTTCCAGGCAGCCCCAGACTGGACAGCATCCCATATCTACAGGAGCACATGCTGCAGTCACTGCTCGCATTTGGCTGCACAACTTGGTGACTAATGTCTATTTAACAGACATTCCTCATCAGGTGTTTGAGTGTGAGAACACTCCTTCTGGATATCTCCTACCTCCTTGGCCTCCTTCTCCAGCAGAGCCTTCTTATCGATGGTCTTGAAGGAGTCCAGCGTGTTGGTGTTGTACAGCGTTCCAGCAGCTGGAGAGCAGCGGGCTGGGGTTGGACCATCACTAACAACACACAGCATCATGTCTCTGCATTAAACGTGTTGGCTGGGCACCACGTCGCGCTCACAGGGTTCGGGTCATACTCTGCACATGTGAACAGTCAGTCTGAAGGTTTTGCTCCCGTCCTTATGTAGACGTTCATGAAATACGATCCATGTGTAACCTCTGGTGAGGGGCCACCAGATAAAAACGATGGAAAAATACAAACTAAGAATGGGAACCTTGTGATAAGAACATTTTGGCAAAGCAAACACGTTGTTCTATCCAGACTTCTACATGGCCTCATGCTTGAGTGGATCCACATTTAGCTGAACCCTGGAGGGACCTGGCTGCAGCTTTAAACTCATTTTCCCACAACAATGCAAACTGTACTTTGTGTTTATGAGCACTGATCAGACCCTGAAGGGGGAAACGAGCACTGTGGCTCTCCTAACGTGTTCCTTCATGTGGCTGATTCTGACCACAGTAATACGACTGTCTGTGTGCTGTCAGAACACACGGAGGAGGTTCATCATCTAAAATCACCCACATCGGTATTTCTGACCCCAGACAGTTCAGTTTTAATGTATAACTGGACTTCACTTTGGCTTACAAATTACAAATCTATTATTTTTCTCTTTTCTCTATTACTTTCAACAGTTCATAAGAGCAAAAATCCTTTTTGTACAAATGTTTATAAAGCAAATTCTGTAAAATGAACCTGTAGCTGAAGAAATACAACTTTGATTTAGGTGTTATCTACAGTGAGATATCGAGGCTTTCATGATGACGGAGGACCAGGTCGCCCTGCCCCATACTCACACATCAAATGCACTGAACTCCAAATTGAGGCGAGTTGGCAAACCAACCGGGTCACCTGTCAGACAGAAATGCAGATGAAAGGTTTTAATGAAACTTATTTGTCATGTAAAGTCTTGATTTGTCAGACGACAGCCTCTGGCAACACAGCTCACCGTTGTAGTAGTATCCCTTGATGCATTTGGGGCTCTCGTCCAATCTGTAGTCATTGAGCTTCTTCTGAGTGAGCTGGTGCCAGAAACCGGCCTCCAGGGCACTGCTGAAGGGAGCAAACTGCAGCTTGAGGTCAGCCACCGCCGCTGCACCGATGTCAGAGGCCATCACAACTTCAGTGAGACGCTGCACAGCCAGGTTCTGCTAACGGGCTCAACACAGACAACAGGAACAGATAAAGACAACTAAACATGAAACACAGGTCTGACAAATGACTGTCCAGTAAAACGTACTGATCCACGCAGCCCTCGTCACCGTCTGCAACACTCTGGTAAAACAAACCAAGAACACAGAGGAGTGGCCCACAGCACTGTCAGCTGTAGATACTGTAGATCCTTCTGTGGACAATGTGTGATTTTAGACTGTCTAGATGCAAGCATCCTGACAAAATGTACATCAGATATCATGATACGAGTCAGACTGGCTCAGATATTCCAGTAGTTAAGCTGGACATCAGGGAGTCATCTGAGAGGTCATCTGTGGACAAAGTCATTCTCTGCATACATAGAGAGTTATCTGTCTTCCTAGTATTTCAGACTAAATATTAGACAAAGTCTGAAGAGACATTTCTTTGGTGGATGCGCTGACTTTTAAAGAGCAGCTGTCATCACCTCCTGCACATCACACACATAGTGGTTCTAGCTGCTCCTCAGGATGCTCCTCAGGATGCTCCTCAGCCTCCTAGATGTCCTACAGACACTAGTTTGGATCATATTGGCCAGATTATCTGTTTAAACCAACTTAGACTATACTGTGACACAACAAGCTAATCAGAGATATTTTAGTGTTTAAGGACTTTCCACCGTTGCATGTCTGTCCACACTGACAGCTCCAGGGTTGGACCAGCTTCAGGTGTGGGTGAGTTCAGGCACATCAACAGACACCACAAAGAAAACTGCGTTTTTCTGTTTAAACGTTTCAAACGCGACAGAAATCTAAAGAAAAGAAGCTGACAGCGAGACACGAGACTAGCTTTAGCTTTTCACAACGTTTACCTGTGAAACTGTACCAGGATTTGTGCACTCACCATAGATTCTTACTTCCTGGTGAAGCGGGTCATGTGATCGCGGGACTTGTCAATAAAGCAAAGCACTCTGGGTAAGTAGCTTTAGCTTAGCTGCTGCCCTGTCTGCGCTTTACGGCGCGAGCACCATGGAGTAAAATATAAAGAACCAAAACAAGAACAAGAACACACAAACGACGAAGCAGGAGAAAACTGACAAAAACTTGTACGCGCCGTTTCTTTTCATGTCGGGGCGGAAGCGACGTGAGCAGCCGCCGGGAAGTTCCGCGTGCTAGCTAGCTAGCTAGCTTAGCGCTTAGCACCGGTCTGCGCAGGGGAGCCACACGGAACACAAGAGTAGGTGGACAGGTGGAAGTGTGCCGGTGTGGACGTGCAGGAAACACGCTAGGAGGTGGTGTCCACGGCACTGACAGGCGGGCAGGGTGCAGCTGGCTCCACCTGGGGACCCGGCAGCCTTAGGGCTCGTCTCTAAATGTTCCGTCGGGGAAAAACGCAAAACGTGTTCAGCTCAAATGCAGAAACACATGAAAAGAAGATGCAAGTTTTTAGATCGGCTCTTCAAAGATATTAATTCCAGTTTTGCAACCAGGAAGGGGAGCCATAGTACTATGAGCAGGGGCAAAAAAAACAAAACCCTCCGGAGCAGGAACGACCTTCTTAGAAAATGAGGAGCTCAGCAGGGCTCTGATGTCTCTGTTCTGTCTGTTCTGTCTGTTCTGTCTGTGGTAGCTGCGCCCTGTGCCCCAACAGGTCATATACACAGAAATGCACAGTATAAAAATCCTGGAGTCCGGTCCCTGTAATGGCCAGCATGTTGGCAAAAACCCAAACTCCCACAGTAGATCTAGTGTCCACGCTGGTGGCTGCAGCCCCTTTTTTGTTTTTTTACCAGCTTTTTCCTTTTAATACATGTGATCAGCATAATAAAAAAGATTCAGCTGTCCACAGCCAGCTTCAGCGAACTCCTAAATGCAGCAACAGCAGCAGAATCATTCCTGGAATCATCTCTGCACCTTCTAATGTCGAAACTTTCCAGCAGCAGTTGAACACATCAGCTGTTGCAGGGAAAGCACACGATGGCATGCTGTGGAACTGGTTTACATTCAGTTTGCTCAGTGGATAATCTGCCCGATCTGAGCGGCCCGTTGTCTTGTTCTGGGAGCAACTGGTCCAATGAAACGAGTCGACAGATCAGGTCAACGTTCATGTAGACACGGTGAAGGAGCTCCAGACTCACATTCTTTCTTCATTCCTTAAAGCCATATAGATGAAACCGGACATTAGGGGTCAGCTGACATGTTGGTTCTGATTATTGCTAATCAAAAGGACTGATACTTGGAGCTGGTATCAGCTGGTGTTGGTGAATGTACCCGGTTAGCCAGGGACACCGCTCTGGACCACATGGTGCTGACCCAGATGGACTCAGCTGTGTACGAGTCAGAATGGCACATTCAGTCTGCCGTCATCTATACAGCACTGTATCGGTGGGGTGTCGCCTGGAGCCGGTCCCAGCTGACCCAGGGCAACAGCAGGTTCACTCTGGGCAGAGCACCGGTCCGTACCAGCACCAAAATACCACGTTTTTTTATTTATGTGTTTTATCATGCATGACTTAAAAAACACAAAAACAGCAACATCCATCCATTATCTATACACCGCTTAATCCTCACCAGGGTCATGGGGGGCGGAGCCTATCCCAGCCGACTTAGGGTGAAGGCAGGTTCACCTGGACAGGTAACCAGTCTATCACAGGGCTACACTTAGAGACAGACAACCAAGCACACTCACATTCACACCTACGGACAATTTACAATCACCAATTAACCTCAGCATGTTTCTGGACTGTGGGAGGAAGCCGGAGAACCCGGAGAGAACCCACGCTGCACGGGGAGAACATGGAGACTCCACGCAGAAAGATTCCGGTGCCCCCACCGGGACGCGAACCGGCAACCAAAAAACAGCAACACCTACTGGGAAAAATGCTCAGTGTTGGAGACAGTAGTGGGCCAGCTGACACGCCGTCAGGCCTGAACAGACGTAATTCAGTTCATTTCTTCAGCAGATCCAGCCGATGAATTGCTAAAATATGTAGTCCTGTTTTCACATTGAAACGGTTCCTTGGCTGTGATGTCAGCTCACGGCATCGAGACCCTCTTCAACGCAAACCGGAGTCGCAGCAGGCTGCAGTATGGTGTGCATGTGTTGTGCAGCAGCAGTCTGCCGGTGAGGACACATCTTCAAACAATGTTTTCATGCAGTTTTGAGGCACATTTCACTGCCAGGGCACGACAAATTTCTATTACGAGTCCGTTTACGCTTACAGAATCAGATGATAAATGACAGCAGTCGTCCTGTGAGATGAGCCTCATAAATCCATGAAGTTTACCAGCATCACTGAGTGTGGAGCTACGTTCACACATGCACAGACTTTTATCCAGGTCATCCACCAAGTCAGAAAGAAGTCTTCCTGTAGTCACTGGCTGAAGCTGACTGACTCCTGGCTCTGACGGTGGTGACATATATGCCGGGTGTTTGAGGTCACGGGCTGGAGCCGTCATGGCCACCACGCTCTGCTGTCTATGCTGCAGCGTGTAGCCAGAGTCAGACGGCGTGTATGATGTACAGACATTCATATTCATGCCAGTCCTTGGTGTCTTGACTCTTTAGCACATCACACAGTAAAGTCTTACAATGAACTGTTGTTTTTATATTTCCACTTTCTTTTCTTCTTATATTACTGTGGATCCTAGTTTTGACAGATTGGTGTCTGAAAGCTGTATTTGTGCAGCTAATGGGACGTTTGGCTTCCTTTCCTCCCACAGTTACGTCTGTTGGGTTCATCAGTCGGCTGTCAGTAGTTTCACTTCACTGTTCCCAGGTTAATAACCACCATGAAGCTTTTTCATTTTTTTTGGGTTTGCGTGGATAGCCTTCATGTTTTACATCAGCGCTGTCAGGATTAGAGGATGAGGACAGCTGGTGAAGCTGGGCGGTGTTTAATGGGGCCTGACATCCCAAAATACCGAATAACACATGTAAAGGCATGTACCCCCCAAGTTAGACCACTAATTGGACAAAGTGAACACTTTCCCAGGTAGCAGAGCTCCACGAACCGCATGCTGACAGCGTGTCACCACATGTGTGGTCATGGGATTACTGATGTAGCGCGTCCTGTGACCACCGACGTGCTCCGGTCTGATTCGCCTGTAAAGTAAAACTCAGCAAATGAATCAAATTAACAGACGAACTGCCGTGAAGAATCACTGGCAGGTAGTGAAGAAGAAGCCCGTTCATCTCAGAGCAAAAGACCAAGATGCTGCCGTATTAGGTGGGAACTTGCATGAGTTGTTGTCCGAGCCACACCTGCTATGTGCACTTTCATTTTGCACTAATGTACATATACCTTTTCTACTGGATGTGTAAATTCTTGTATATGTTTGTCTTATTATCTTTTTTATTTTTTTTATTTATATTTATTGTATTTTATTCTTTTTCTTCTGTAGTTATTTTACTTTATTTTATTTTTTAAATTTTCCTATTTCTATTATTCGTGTAAATTCCCGGGGCGACACCAACAGCCGGAACCAAATTCCTTGTATGTTGTGTACGTACTTGGCCATTAAAGCTGATTCTGATTCTGATTTTGCCCCGTTAGCCCCACACACATGAAATCAGCTGAGCATGCACTGTGCAGTGTGTGTTCATTCAGTACACCTGGCTAACAGAATTCAGCAGCGTCAGACCCTCATGAAGACTTCCATCAGAGCAGGAGTGAAGTTAGACAGCTTTAGTTTGAGCCGGCTGCATTCAGACGCGCTGCGTGTCCACCAAGGGTGAAGTGAGCAGTGCTCCTCTGCAGTATGCACTCTGGCAGCCGTTATCTTTAGGAGCATTATTATATGACTGTGAGTGAATCATTAGAGACTTTATCGTTCTGTTCCCAGCAATAAAAGTCTGAGGGACTGACAGCTGCAAAACGCAGATTATAAAACACACACAGCAGAACGGCCAGTGGCAGCTACAGCAGAGCTTTTCTCAAGTAAAAGTGAAAAATCTCTGTGTTTCTGCTAAATGTCGCTGTTCTTGCTGTGTGCCAGCCTGACACTGGTTCAGTGTGTTTGAGCAATCACACATGCTTCCTCTGGTAATCACCTCGTCCAGCTCACTTCCAGCCCCCTCTGATTTTGTTTGAATTGGCAGAGTTCTGACGCAGTGTGAAGAAGCACAGAAATTGATTTCTTAGCAATTTCTAGGTCTGGAGCCAGCAGCCAGCAAAATGTCTGCCGCTGCTCGAGGTCCCTACCGAAGGATCAATAAAGTTACATCCAATCAATCTAAGCTTCAAGTTTGTTGAACTCAAGCCAAGAAGTATGCATCTGAACTCCCACCAGAACTG